GGCAGCCACGTGCTATAAATACTGCATTCCTGGTGCCACCTTTACCGCTATCTGCGAATGTCTCTGATGATGGGTTCGAGTGAGAACCCGAAACGTCAGGCCAATAAACTTCTTGTCCCAGTGATCGCATCTTCATCTTCTAAAACCCTGACCCCATGTGTGGTATCGTGAAGTTACAAAACGAATAAATCGTCAGTTTGAACTTCGAGGGTGACGTTCTCCAACGTGTGCCTCACAGTATGTTGCGCGCAAACGGTGACCTTCGTATGAATTAGTTTATGGTGTAAATAGATTTGCGGAGCATTTGTTGCGTCATATTTTCCCTCATGTATCTGGTTCCGGCAGCAAAACTTAGTAAGGAGGACGAGAGGGACGAGTGGATTATATAAAAGGCAACCTAATAAAGCCCAGTCTAGTATGCACTTAAATAGAAGGGCGATGAGTGCACATTATAGGGTACGTGCAGCGCCTTCTAAAAACTGCACATTCATCTCAAGTCGGTATGCCCTCTTCCCAGGAATCTTCACCACCGTCAGCTCACGTCAGTGCTCAAACGTCGATGTGACAGACGCATCTGCGGATATATCCCCGAACGTCCTACTGAAAATAACAGCTATATTTTAATTTCATTTCGTGCATGGACTCTCTCTAATTCTTGGTCTATACGTTTATATGAAAACACTTAATGCATGGTAACCCAGTGTGTATTCAGTTTGAGACGCTATTAGACGATATTTAAGTTTGGGATGTCTTGATATCGCGAGTTACTTGCTAACGTTCTGTTTTATATTAACTGTTTGGAAGTCTGCAGAATGAGATATATCCATAAATCTTTTTCTCAAAATCTACACAGTTTCGTCTGCATTTCCACCAAACCTTTCATTTGAAGAAGTTGGGAAATACTCGGTGTCCCCGATGGGATTCGAACCTACGGCAGCAACGGCAAGACGTGATAGCAGCAAACGCTCTAGCCACCTGAACTACGAGGCTCCACCGAGGGCCGTAATTTTAGTCGCATTTGAGTCAAGTTACCCTCCTAACGCAGTAACAGATTGCCCAAGCAGGATTTTCTAAGCAATCAACCTATGATCTAACTGGGGACGCAGACTTTTCGCAATTGGGTCAAATGAATAGATCAGATCTACTCAACCTTTGTCTAACAGTGTTCATTACCGTGCTTCATTGTTTTATTGTACATTCTCCTTTTATTATAAAAGATGATAAAAACCACTGAGCTGTCTAACTGGCACTTAGCATTTTTCATACAAATGCAATATCACCCCGTCTTCTATCTTTTTTTCACTTATATATCACATAGGCGTACGGACACCGACGCATCTAAAGCACTTTTGGACCGCTCCTGACATTCCGTTTGCCGAAATTTAGCTGCACGTGCTTATTCAAAAAATAATCACGGTCACATCAGGAAGGGCCACTACTATTTTTTTGATTGTCTGGAGACATTCTTTCCCGACCTTTTCACCTGCACTTGCGAAGCGGCCTTGAATGTCAGTTATGAAAGGGTAGAGGGCGAAGATCTATATGCAGTGTATCCTAAATATACACAAAATACGCCTGCTGACGGTACGTGCCGATGGACACTAACTACACGTGTGCACTGTCAGTGTTTAATAAACATTTTATTGTATAACACAGACGTGTTGTCACACGGGGTTTTCGGGCCAACGGTTTAATATTTAAACCACTCGCTTACCACATTTCTATTTATTTAAGCCAACAGCCGTTAGACAAAAAACCCCTTTATTTGCAATTTCCGTTATGCCATTAGTGATAGAATACCAACTGCCTAAAAGTAACTGGTGTAATGCACTCCAAACCTCTCTGTTTGTGACCGTGGGGAGCGAATACCGATGAAAGAGCACCAAAAAGCTTACGAACTGAAATTTGGTAATCCAATCATTAATGACTTACCGGTTAAGTATTATATATCGAAATTTATGGTTTCACTCACATTGATAATGACTGCTGACTACCCGGTCCCAGTTTTGGCATCTTAACTGCAAGACGTTTAAGTCATCAGAAAGCAACTGCTGCTTGACAGTAAGGTTCAGCACACGTAATAGCAGGCATTTCAGTCTTTGAAGCTTGCAGTAAAGTCTAAAGTCGGCTCTGGGTACTTAAGTGAAGTGCTCATTCGCGAGCTGAACTCTGAGCGGAAGTCTGCCTTTTGTGAATTTCAAATACACTAAAATCACTTTTTAAGAAGTCAACAGTTTTAAAATGACATTTAGCATTTCCCACCCAGTTGAGGTCATCTGATAGTTCTACAGTCGCTTCAGACGATGCCCACCGTGTGCCCCACAGCAAGGTGGAGCAGAGACAGTACTTTGCGCCTGAATTAGTTTATAGTGATGGTGGGCTTGCGCTGCATCTACCGCACTATCTCCTCCTCCACGTGAACCGGTGTCAAGAAATAGTCAAGAAGACTGGAGGCAGAGGAGGGCGCAGGTTAATTGCACGGTCGGGCCTGCACCTTGGCGCTCCATTACACACTCCTTTGTCCACACATCAAATGACCAGGCTTTTTTAACTAACAACAAACGTTGGGACTGGCACAGCCGTAGCCGCACTTAGGCGTACCGTCACACCCGGCTTGGATTCTACGGAGTGGAAATGCCATAAGGCCGTATTAAAAAGAAGCCATCGTAGCCTAACTCTTAAAACACCAGTCGGCCGCTCCACACAAACACACAACACTGGGCCGATTGCGAGATTCAAGTTCTCCCGTCAGTTGGCAACCTTCCACGCCACGGCTTTTGGCGCACCGTGATAGCTTCAGGTTGGTTGTAGTGAGGAAAGTGCGCTGAGTCATCGACCTCACTCTCCCTTCCCATTCCCTTGCTCCAGCCACTGTCCGAGCCGGTCAGCTGACTGGAGTGGGAAATGGGCGCGGTGGCTGTCATTGACGACTGACCATGACTGCGCGCGCCACATGCACGACCTGGTTCTCCAAACACAAGCACCAGGATTTCATACAACGGAGGTTGAGAGACATAAATCTAACATGCGTGAGAGTGCTGTAGGTCACCTTCAGAAGGATCCGCTTTAGCTTGACTCTCATTCCTCCAGTCCGCCACTCCACACAAGCACATGCGTAACGCGACAGACTGTGTGGACTGGGTTTGGGCGTCAGTCAGCAGCCTTCCAAGCCACGGCGCTTGACGCGTCATGATAGTCTCAGACTTGAGTTACGGAGGCAGCAAAGGAGGCGCATGGAGGCGGAATCGAGATGCACACTTACCATTTGCGTGAGAGGTGGCGATCGGATGCTGATGGTGGTTGGTGGTGTTGTCTGATGCAGATGTTGGTGGGGAAAGGTGTAGTGGTGCAATGTAGGCGGCGGTTGTTTACCGTAGGTTTCCGTAAATGTGCATGTGGCATAGTAAGCCCATGCAGTGGGCGAACGTGCGGGCGCGGTGGGAGCGGTTGAGATGGATGCTTCAGATGTAGCTTGGTGCGTCAGATACTGGTTTACGGCCTCTGTGCGATGGACTCGCAAGTGACCGACCAGGACGATGCAGGAGGTGAATGTACGAGGGCCCTTTGGACAGGAGAGGCCGGGAATGTCGGTTTCGGAGATGGTGCCAGTGCTGGAGCTGTTCACTGTGACCGTGCTGAGCGGTGAGGTTTGGGTTGAGCTAGGCCCGGTAGATGTGCAAGAGGTGCTGGGCGTGTCGAGACTGCGGTCAATTCCGCTCTCAATGATACGCATATGACCGAATAGACCCCTGCGGTGAGTGAGTGTGCGGGGGCAGTGTAAACAATGGAGGCGACTGTAAAGATTGCAGGCTGGTGCTCCAGGCATTGGCTCGCCAGTCTCTGTACGATTGATTCACAAGTGACCGACCTGACCGATGTGTGGGGGGAGGGTGCGGTCGCAATTAAAACAGATATGGATCGAGTCCACACGGCGGTGTTGTTAATGGGGTGGTTAATATTCGTAGGTGCGTCAAGATTGTGTGCAGTAGTGGTGGACAGAGAGCCGCCGTAGCGAATGTTGAGTCAATGGAGAAGGAAGACGAGGAGGAGGAGGAGGAGGAGGAGGAGGAGGAGGAGGAGGAGGAGGATCGTAGGGTGGTTTGGGGGGTGCGGTCAGTGTTAGATGTTTGTTTACAGGACGAGACAGAGTTTTACGGAAGGACATTGGCTGATGTAGTTCGGGTGCTGCAGACGGCAGGGAGATGTCTTACAAGGCCGACTGGTGCCCAGAGCGCCTTGGCAGCCTGGGCAAGTCGGGGATGGTTGAGCGTTGGTGTTGCGATGTGGGCGCAGTTGGGATTAGTGAGCCTCGCGTTGGACACTGGCGGCGGTGATGCGCTTGGCTTTGTAGATCGCTGCGCCTGCCTTCACTGTCCTTTTGCAAGACGGTCCGTCTCGAGCGAGGCCTTCCGAGTTGAACGGGTTGATCTGCAGACGCTTCAGGGATGTCTTTGCTTGTAGCGACGAACTTGACCTCCTTGGCGGCGGAAACTCGTGACGACATCTCCGTAGAAGAGTCGTTTGGGACGTCGCCCTTCGTTCATCCGCAGGAGGTGTTCGTTTCAACACATTTGTAAATGTCTCATTATGGCACAGAGGCTGAGGATTTCCATCCGCTCCAGTACATTCGTGTCGGGCATCCGGTCATGCCACTTCAGCTTAAACATCCGTCGAAGACAGCTGGAGTGGAAGTGATTGAGCCTCCGCGCCCGTTTCTTGGGGACCGTCCAGGTCTCCGCTCCGTACAGCAGCGCCGGCAGGATGACTGCTCTGTACATCTTCATTTTGATGTTGAGGTGGAGACTGTTGCGATTCCCGACTGCGCTTTGCAGACGGCCGAGGGCTTGGCTGACTTTGAAAATCCTGCAAAAGACTTTATCGTCGACTTTGGTGTTATGGGACAGCGTGCGGCCCAGGTTGGTGAAGTTGTCAACCACTTACAGTTGGTGTCGTTCACGTTGATTTGAGGTGCAACGTAGGCGGCGTCGGGTGGTGGTTGATGTATGACAGCCGTCTTCACCACATTGATGACATGGCCGAAGTTGCTGCAGGCGACAGCGAAGGGGTCCATGCTCCATTGCATGTCTCTTTGAAGGGATTGTTGATGGCGTAGTCGTCGTCGTCGTCGTCGTCGAAAAGAAGTTCATGAACGACAATCGTGGATACACGCGACTGGAAGTGCGTCCGCCGTTGATTGAGGAGGTGACCATCCGTCCTGAAGGCGATGCGGATTCCAGGACGTTCGTCACCGTGGGCCTTCATCAGCATGAACATGAGACCGACGAGGGTAGGCGCGAGGACGCAGCACCACTTCACTCCGTTAGTCGCTGAAAATGCCTCGGAGAAAGCTCCATTGTTTGTGAGTCGCGCCACCATGCCATCGTCAAGCTGACGCACCATCTGAGTGCATCGCTCGGGACAGCTGGATATCTGCTTGATTTCCACAGTCCTTCGCGATTCATCGTATCGAGGACTTTTGTCGGATTCACGAAGGTTAAGTAGATGTCGATCTGCATCTCCTGGCACTTCTGTAGTTGGCGGTTGGCAAAAATTATGTCGGTGGTCTCCCGACGACGACGGACTGCACTGGCTTTTTTGGAAAGAGACCTAGTTCCAGATGTTTGTTCAGGTAGTTGTGAAGGATGAGAGTGAAGATCTTCCCAGCGATGTTCAACAGGGAAATGCGTTGGTAGTTGTCGCAGATCTGGCGGTTCCCTTTTGCGCTTGTTGAGGTGAACGGTTGTGGCGTACTTGAAATCCTGCGGGAATACTCCTTTGCGCCACATCTCTTGAAAGAGCGCAGTCAGATTATTCATGAGTTGGGACAACCGTGCTTGTAGATCTCAGAAGGCATCGTATCCATACTAGGCCGTTTCCAGCTTGAGAGCTGCTGCACAGCCTTGCTGATTTCACGTAGAGAGGGCGGGAGGTCGAGGTCGACGTTGCTCCGCACCTGAGGCAAACGGACGATGGCGGCGTCGGAGATGTTGCAGGGACGGTTGATGACGCCTCTGAAGTGCTCGACCCATCGCTGTAGGACTTGAGTTTTGTCGGTGAGAAGGGTACTGCCATT